TACAATGAGTAGGCGAAACAAATCTCTATGTGGAAGTTTCCAAATTTATGAACGAAATATTTCCTTCGTTTGACAAAAATTAATTCACAAACTGGCCTTTCAGGAAGTGATTTCTATCTAAATTGTTGGGCCAAGTATATATTGAAAATAGATATTGAAAAATTGCAAGAGATTTCACTCGTCGAATATCATGAACGAAATTGCTTGGCGAGGTAATTTCTACTCGGCCGTAGAAATTAAAAACCATCCTGACACTCAATTCTAGCATTAACACACTGCATCCTAGTATTACAGTCACGCCAAAAAAACTCGTTACAAACATTATTCCACCATTTCGTTCATTTCCACAATTATCCCAATACGTAATCACGCCATGTGCTCTCGTCAAACCGTTCCATTAAAACAAAATTCACCTGGTTGATCGATGGACGGTTATTACATACAGTCGAACGCGATGGAATCGGTAAATTTCGTAGAGATGATCGATCCGCCGCGTCCTTTGGAAGATTATAAACGAAAGGAGTGTTTCGACTAACGCTAACTACGATCGTGATGAATCCAGATCGCGTGGGAGAATGAATATCGTCGCTGGCCAACCGCCGGCGAACGTTTTTCGACAAGGCGTGCAAGTGACAAGTACGCTCTCCGGCTTTTGCGGTAGGCGACATTCCGATACGCAGCGGTCCGATGGTCCAGTTGGCCGATTATTTTTGTTCTTTTTCCCTTCTCCCTGTGGGTTATTGCTCGGATAACTGTTGAAAGCTGGCTGGTTTCGCTCGCTCGCTCGGTGGCACGCGCGCGCGATTTCAGGCAAAGCGGCTTTCCGTGGCGCGCAATTTGACGGGCATTAAATCCTCCGGGGCGAGACTTCGTGCCGCTGATGAGATCCGCCGCGTTCATCTTTATTAATGGACAGATCGGCGATAACGCGCGTTACCATCGAGGCCGCGACTATCCGTTACACGCGCGCCGTCCTGCTCGATCGACATCGAGCTGTAGATTGGTTTATTGATTGACCGAACGAGGTATCTTCCGACCACTCAGTGATTTAAGCTCGTTTACGGATCGCTCTCCCCGGTCTATGGCGTTAAGTTGTTGCTGTAACGTGCTGTAACGCGCGCGGATCTTCGCCTTACGCGGCGATGAGATGAAACTGTGTCTCTCTCTCTCTCTCTCTCTCTCTCTCTCTCTTGATTTTCGAGCGTCGTTTGTGTTTCGGTTTAACGTTCAACACCGATTGTAAGTTGGGCGTTTATAACAGGTTGTTGAGTTTATGGTTGTTGGCGTTAATGAGCCGCGAAGCCGAGGTTCTTCAAAGCCAAACTGGTCGAGTCTGTTTTATCTGTTTAACCATGAATATTAATTTTCTTTAAAATTTTCAAAAATGAAAATTGAATGAGAAAACCAATAATAATGATGACTTTTATTAGATCGAAGAGTAGAATTCCCAACATTGCCCATTAAATTTGGTTTAATTACCAAAGTATTAAATTTGATTACGGTAGAAATTGTCAATCTTCACGAGGTGAAACGAAGAAAAAAATTTTACAACTAGGAGAAATTCTCTGAAATTTGAGTATGTCGAAAAGGCAGGCAATTTTTATACAAGAAGATCAAGAAAATTGTTTACGCTGATTTAGACGACAAGCAAATTGCACGCGTGTTCAATTTAGGAAACGCGCCCGCGATTCCAAGTTTTCCCACGACTTTTCAAGTTTTCCCGAGTTTGCGACACGTCAGTCACATGTTGGGAAGTACGAAGGGAACTCTAAGCCCTTTAAATCCTAATTAGAATGCGGAGTTCACGAACTACGTAACACACGCAAATCTCTGCTGCATGCCTTCCCTTAATTGATGCAATATAAAAATCGTGCAACGCTTAGGAATCTCAACGCATACACGAAATTATTGTCACTGATTATAGATTATCGATTTTCTATAAAAATTTAGCTTCTCAAAGCATCAATCGTTTTACTCTCGAATTACGATCCGATATGAATTTTTAAGACGTCTAAAATATTTCAAAAAAAATATTATTCACTTTTCGAAGATTTAGTTTATTGAAACTAAAGGGATCAATTTAATATACTTTCGTTAATTGTGCGTCAGAATTCTAGCGTGAGATCATTAATCAATCTGCTGTAATGATACTGACAAATTATTGCAACCATCAAATTTTGCACACTTCACTTGCGCTACGTGATGAAATCGATGATACGATAGATGATGGAAGGAAAACGGAATCGAGCGAGGGATGAAAAAGGATATCCATTTGAGATTAGCTGTTAGTGTCCTGTTTCGTGCGTGAGTACCAAAGATACTGTTTAATGCTATTACTTTGGCGTACGTAACAACCATATCGGTGAAGGGGATTTCAAACAAGCTTATCAAATCAATGGATACGATAGCAGATTAACGTAGACCGGTTCAATCAAAAGCTCTTATCGATATCCTGTGGTAGGTGTAATAGGATTACAATGCTACGTTGACGTGGAAGCATTCTTCCTTTGCCAAACTGTATGACGCGAAACGCGTCCAAAGTGTTATTTCTCGAATCAGTGGCTTTTGTCACGGCGAAACAATGCATCAAACCGACAATGTGATAACGCGTCCCTCCAAACGTGAGCCCTTGGTTTCTCATTCGTTCTTAAATAAGAATAATTTCCAATGGTAAATTCTAGCGAATGTTGATTCCAGTAATATTTGATGACGAAGTAAAGTAGAGAATTATTCATTTTTCTTTTCAATTCTTTCTTTCCAACGCGTGTTGTAAGAAATAACACGTGGAACGAGCGAGAAATACTTTTAATATGTTAAATATGATTTTTGTAAATATCGTGGAGATTTATCGATTCTTCTTTCCTCTCGAAACAACTGGAACAGAATCAATATCCAATCGAACATGTTACGTCTTCTCATCCCGATCGAATTCTCATTCATCACAATTTGCAAGTTTCCCGAGCAAGTAGGTTACGTTTCAATGCCTCGGCAAAGAAATTTTATTTTATTCATCAAGCCAGCAAATTGGACTTCGAAGACCGTGAAATTCAATTGCACGTCGCCCTACGAACAAATATTTGTCATGGAAGCAAGTCTTTGCGAATGTTGATTTCTCTTCGGGATTAAATTTTGTTTAAACTTTGTCGTTTGATCCATGCGGCGGATCAGAATTTATCTCAACACGTCAGCTTTGTCATCCTTTCGCCGTGAAAGAACTTACGAAGAATTTACAAAAGGAGAGTTGATCATTTTTACTGTATTCGGTACTATTAAATACGAAAACAATTCGCTCCTTTTTATAGGATAATTTACACTTATAAACGCAAGCTGTCGTTCACAAGTCGCGAGTGTGCCAAAGGAAGCTACTTCTGTCCGTTACAAATTCTAACCCTTGAAGGTTCCAGACAGTGTACTCTAACAACAAGTACGAAGCTGGATGCTCCGAGTTTCAAGTCATAGATGAACCTTCGTCAGAGCCCGCGTTTAACTAATGGCGCACTAACCTAACATTGATCAAGTACAACAGTGTAGTGCACGTAATGGCGAATTTATGTGAAACTGATAGGAATATGTCAGTCCATAGATCTGCGTTTGGAATATCGGCTGCGAGATCTACGAAGGCTATTTTTGATCTCCATCTTTCACACTGTAAATTAACCGTAGAATTCCAACACCGTTATTTCACATGTCGTTTTAATAAATATTCATATATCATGAAATTCGATGGAAATCGATGGAAATCGAATATTATGTAGTTTAATTCCTAATGGCGTGGACTCCGTAGAATTCGATATTTCGAATATTCAGGATTCTATATTTTGGATACGTTTTTATATAATATAGTTTTATTACAGGTTCCATTTGTGTAATTTTCAATTTTCAATTGTAATACGATCCTATAAGATCGTTTACGTCAAAATCTTTTTATTAATTCTTCGATGATGGAGCATCGACAGAAAATATTCAGAATAAACGTTATTGAATTTGCTAGAAGTCAGTCAATACGCCAGAATATTTATTATACTTCAGACGATTCTGTCATGTCCAATTATGAGAAGATACTTGTAGTTATCTAAAAACAAAACCAGCTTGCCACGGTGTCTTTTCTCTAACAGTTTATAAATAATTAAATTAATATAAAATGTAATTCACTGTGATCTTCGATTAACACAACGTACTGATAGGAACTGTGTAAAAAGTCATTTTAAACAACTCGTCAACTATAAAAGTTTTTAACAAAACTCTTCTTCAAGGAAAAGAAAAGAATTGAAGGTCAGCTTTCGTGTACGAACTTCTACTGAAATCAATACTTTCGATGACCCGAGAATTCTAATTCAAATCAGACACCCTGTTTATGTACAAAAACTTCCATAAAACACGAGGAAATTACAATCTACGAGCCTGTAAAATGTAAAACTTCGGCCAGAGCCCTTAATCATCCGGCTCGAAGTACAAATCGTCGGCCACAATCGCGAAGCAACATCACCCACCGTGGTTCGACTCGCGCGAGTGATATTTCTTCGGGATTTGAAGCTGTAAATTTCGCGCCATAGCCAAGAACGTGATCTCTTAACACCGGCGAATTTCTGTTTCTCGCAGGGATCGATAGATCGCCGACGATGCGTAGACCGAGCACCAGACGGGACTCGAAGAAGATCTGGAAGATGGAGCACAGCCACGAGAGGAACGCGACAGGCATGAGAGACGAGCCAATGTCGAAAGGCGTGGAGAACGATGACGAGCAGATGGACTTCCAATCGGCCGCCGATTCTTCTCACAATCACTGCCGTTTGTTCGCGAGTCTCGGTATCACTGCGATCGCTGTCGTCCTGGCCGGTTGTTTGTCAACGTAGGCCCATCAGTGACAGTCGTTACGCCTGAAACTGATCGATCTCTCGCGATCGGATCGAATCTTCAGGGAATACTGGAGGGTACTAGCTGAATCGAGATTATTGTAATTCTGCATCGAGGACCAGCCGGATGTTGAATGTTTCTCGGACTTGTTGCTGTCCGTGTGTCGGAAAGTGTCTTCGTACGTCAAGATGATGATGATTCGCAGAACGAAGCGGACGCTTGGGACAGTGCGCACTCCTTTTTATTTCTCTTCTTCTTCTTTTTCTTTTTTTTTTTCTTTTGGCGGAGGTTGAGCCTTTAGCTGCGAGAGAGGAACGTGTCGGAGATGCTGTTGCATGTTTATCGCGGACGTGTAGTATCGAGGAGAAGATTGGATTTGTTTCGGGGATTTTTATTTTTTTCGAGACGGTAAGGATTTCATATTGATTTTATTTTATTCAATAACTACTCCACAATTTTTTTTATTGATTTCAATTGTTTCTTTGCAACAATAATATAATGATCTTATGTTTCACTCACGAAAGTATTCGAGTAATTAGTATGGAAACACATTTGTGCTCGTATCGTATGTGTCATATGATTAGACACGATACATTGTGATTATATTGATAAAAAAATTTGAAATCTGAAAATGAATATAGAAATCACGACATATTTGTTGTAAACATATACTTTAGTAAAGAATTAGCACGCAGAATTAACAGCCATAAGTTACAAACATGATCTTACCGGGAATATTAAAGTTTGTCAATACAATGAATTTTTTTTTTTTGCACTAAGTATCTTGTAAATTTTGACATACAAACTTCAAAATGTTTCTGGACGCGTTCTTAACAATACTTTTGTGAGCTTGTGTTTACTATAACGAAAGGGGCAATGTTAAATGATTTAACTTGATAAATATAACTTGACGGGGTAAGGCTATTTTTCTTCAGTTCAAAAATACCACCATCTTTATTCCATACGTCAAAGATTTATTAAAATAATAATAACAATACAATACAAAAATTCTACTGTAACAATATAAAAAATTGTTCGGGAAAAATTCTTGTGAACATTACGTCGTTCACTGCATACGATTTTCGCCGCAGCTGATTGAGGATAATTTTGTCGGTGCTTGTTACATTTCTTCTTCCATATTTTACAACATATAGCAGCCTCGGTGTACATCTTCCTTACGTTAGATCGTATATAACGTTGAACTGTTTAATTGCAAATGCGTAGCAGACGTGTCAATTTACATATTTGAAAACTTGGAATGAAGGAAGAGTACCGCAGACAACAAATTTTCCATATAGATTCGATTCTTGATTCAAAAATACCAGAAAAAAAGAACGCCTTGAAAGTTGCTAATTTTCTATCCTTTGTTTCGTAAGGCCTAGTCGACGAATATTCTCTCTCTGACATTTTACTGTAATTGATAATATCGTTCCAAAGTAACGTGTGATACAAAGGC